TGTAAAGTGGTATCTTTTTACAAATATTATTCTTACCACTTCGGTACAGGGGTGTTCTTTTCATAGGTTATGTTCTTTTCTTTGGGTAATTATTTCTTATCTATACTTTAAAAAAGTCTTTTAATACATAAATAATACATAATGGTATAAAAATTTCAACAGTACTGAAATAATGTAAAAGGAGGCTGCTACTCCAACCAACTGCTGATCTATACCCTAAATGTAACCATTGTGACTCATTTAGTATCTTACCAAACATTCCCAAAGCTTCTGCAAACACACAGGCACAGGAGACATAATCAAATCCTCTTTAAATTAAAATATAAAACTGGCTCATGCTGTATATACTGTTCTGCTACTTGGATTATTTGCTTTCTCTACAGGAGATATATTTTAAAGTCAATTCAGTGTTTTAAAGTCAATTACTTTTGTTTATTTTAATCAGTTGTCATATAATTTAAAAACTAAATATTATTTAAAGGCATAAGATGAACAATAGCCCTCACCCCACTTTTATCTATTCCCCATTCTTCTCCTTTGCTTTTTGTTGTTTCTTTTGCCATTTACCCTTCTCAGCAATGTTTCTTTTTTTTTTCTTTTAATCATTGTTCAAATAGTTTTCTCCTTTTTACTCCCAATCCAGTCCCCCCTCCTACCCCTCCCCACTTCCCTCCCATTACCACCCTCCCCTTAGTTTATGACCTTGTGTCCTTTAAGTTTGTTCCTGTGAACCCTTCCCACTGTCCCCTTAAATTCCCTCTACTCTCTTCTGTGGGCACTGTCAGCCTGGCCTCTATTTCAGTGTCTTTGGTTATATTTTGCTTGTTTCTTTGTTTTGTTATTTAGGTTCCTGTTAAAGGTGAGATCATATGGTATTTGTCTTTCACTGCCGGGCTTGTTTCGCTTAGCATAATGTTTTCCAGCTCCATCCACGCTGTTGCAAAGGGTAAGAGCTCCTTCTTTCTTTCTGTTGCATAGAATTCCATTGTGTAAATGTACCATAGTTTTTTGATCCATTAATTTACTCATGGGCATCTTGGTTGCTTCCAGCATCTAGCTATTGTAAATTGTGCTGCTATGAACATTGGGATGCACAGGTTCTTTTGAATTGGTGTTTTAGTATTCTTAGGATAGAGTCCCAGCAGTGGAATTGCAGGGTCAAAAGGCAGATCCATTTTTCAGTTTTCTGAGGAAGTTCCATACTCAGCAATGTTTCTAATGTTATGTCTTCATTTATCAAGACATACAAGATGATCCCTGGCCAAATGGTTCAGCTGGTTGGAGCATTGTCCCATACACCAAAAGGTTGGAGGCCTGATCCCTAACTGGGTGTGTACAGGTGGAAACCAATTGATGCTTCTTTCTCACGTTGATGTTTTTCACTCCCTCTCTTCCTCTCTCTAAAATTAATAAAAATATTCTTGGGTGAGGATTAAACACACACACACACACACACACACACACACACACACACAAGTGGAGTATTTGGCTCTCTTAACCTACCTTACAAACCAAACATTAAAACTGTTAGCACCATGTTTGGATAAGCATCATGGCTGTCATGTTTCCCTAACGACAATTATGTGAATTTTCTTAATTTTATTTATTTATTTTTAGAGAGAAAGGAAGGGAAAAAGACAGGGAGAGAAACACTGATATGCAAGGGAAACATCAATCAGTTGCCTCTTGCATGCCTCCATATGGGGACCTGGCCCACAATCCAGGCATGTGCCCTGGCTGGGAATTGAACCTGCAACCTTTCAGATTACAGGCCAGGACTCAGTCCACTGAGCCACACCAGCCAGGGCAATGTAAATATTTTAAACTGCACAGGCATGCAGTATGTTTTGATTATTATTCCCTCCCTGAAAAACATTTCTCTTTCTACTGAATATTATAACAGCCTTGGTTATTGCTTATGACATTACAGTGATTGATAGTTTTCTCTCCATCATTGGCTAAATCAAGCCAGTCAATGGCCTCCAAATACAATATTCCACATTTGCCAACCTATACATAAGCCTACAATTCTAACTTTTCCCCCAGTGATCTTTCTCCTTATAGCCCTCCATCTGTGGTTCCGCTGTGGACAGTGTCTTCCTGGGACTCCTTTCCACCTTATCCTGGGCATACCTGTCATCTCTCTTCTTTGTTGGATCTCCTGTTTTCTGTACCCCATGTCTTTCTAATTTTGATCTATGCTCTTGTACTTCCTTTATTCTGCTAATATAGTGGATTATAGTAATTGACTTTTAAAGTTAAACTAACCTTGCCTTTTTAAACTCTACTTGGTCATGATTATTTTGTAATGCTCTTTATATACTGCTGGGTTCAATTAGCTAACAGTAATGATTGTTGCATCTATGTTCATGATGTATATTAATATGCCACTTTCTTTTCTTAGAATGTCTTTGGCCCATTTCACCATTGTGGTGACACTGTTTTCATAAAAGAAAGAAATGGCAATACATATTCTTTGGTCATAAAAAAATGAAACATAGCCATTTGTAACAAATTAATGGACCCTGAGGGATTATGCTAAGTGAAATAAGTCAGGTGAAAAGGACAAAAAGCATATGATTCACTGTTATGTGGAATACAAAAACACACACACAGACAAGCAAAACAGAAACACACACAGAGACAACAAATTGGTTGGTTACCAGAGAAGAAGAACGGGTAAAGGAAGTCGAATGTATGGTAACAAATGGAAACGAGACTGTTGGTGTTGAGCATGGTGTAGTGCGCACGGATATGGAGTTATAAAACTGTACACCTGAAAACTGTATGTTATAAACCAATGTAACCTCAATTTAAAAAAAGACTAGGAAGAAAGTACTACCTTTTCCCTATTTTCTGAAGTCTGTAGGTTTTTCTTCTTTAAGAGTTTGATAGAACTCACCAATGGAGTTATCTGAACCTGGAGTTTTCTTTTGTAGGAAGATTTTTGATAATACATTTCTTTGAATATAAAGCTATTCAGAGTTTCTATTTCATCTATTATCAGTTTTAGTAAGCTATATTTTTCAAAGAACTTGCTGACTTCATTTGATTTATTGGTTTAAAGTTGCCCATAATATTCCTTATCATCCTTTTATTGGCTGTAAGATCTATAACATCCCCTATTTCATTCATGATAGGAATAATCTGTGTTTTCTTTTTTCATCCACTTTTGCTAGAGGTTAAACTTTATTAATCTTCTCAAAGAACCAACTTTTGGCTTTGTTAAGGCTATTATTTATATGTTTTAAATATCATTGATTTTTTTTCTCTTTTAATGTTTCCTTTCTTCTACTTACTTTGGATTTAATTTGTCTGTGTTTCCCTAGCTTCTTCCTTCCTTTCTAATATACACATGGTCCAGCAGAAGTAAGGCTTGCTTGAGTGTGGTTGATAGGGTCATGAATGTCTCACACAAGATGGATAGCAATTTGAACATTTCACCTAAAATGTCATATGGTGCACAAGAGTGTGATATTTCTGTTACAGAATTTCATGCTTATGATTTTGTAATAGAAGATTTTGTAATAAAAAGGGGGTGTTAATTATGCCAGGCCCTGTATTTAAAGCTATGTAATTTAGGAAATAAGTATAATTCTACTGATTTGACCTTTACTACTTTATTTCTATAGGTTATTCAACCTTGAAAGAAATTCCTAAGTCTATTTTAGGGAAAACTTTTTAGGAGAATCAGTAAATTCTAACCAGGAGGAGAATATTCATAAAAACCTAAAGAATGATTATAAGGATATCAAAAGCCTAACATTCCCATTACATAACTCTTGATTTTTCATTCCATTCCAATCTGGGTGTGTGTTTAGTCTAAGGATGCTTGAATTTTAAAAATCCTCAGTTCCTGTTTTGGATGCTTTTTGCAATTGCAAGTGACTCATTCATCCATACTCAAGTTTTCGGATGCAAATGAAAGTATGACTTCACAGTTAATTTTAATTCTTTGACTAGACCAAACTGAGCATCCTGTCAAGATGAACTCTTCCTGTTGCTAAGTATTTCAATTAATGTAATGAGTGACTTTTCTTTAATTATTGTTTACATTATCTTTTTATATTCACCTTTGGAGATCTAACACCTTCCCTTTTTAATAATTCATTTTGAGTTCTGATTTTTAAATACCAGAAGGGTTATTGCATACAGATTTTATTTACTTTATACTTATTCTGGATAGTACCAAACATTATTTCCATAAAATTCTTTTAAGAGTTTTTTTTAAAAGGAATGACTGTGTTATAAAATGAATTTTTCAAAGTCAAACCAAGCCAAATATTCCTAAATACACCTACAACCAAGTGAAAGTTTGTATATTTCAAAGATAATATTTTTTCTAATTCACCGTTGAAAACAATGGCCTTATCAAATTAAGTCAGCTGGTAGAAAAAAATCTAATACATTTTACATTTAGCCTAAGGTTAGTTTGGACAAGGGTTGGAGGGCTTTTGATTTTTTCTCTTAAGATTTACTTATTTTTGAGAGAGGGGAAGAGAGGGAGAAAGAGAGGAGAGAGAACATCGGTGTGAGAGAGAACATCGGTGTGAGAGAGAAACATCAAGAGGCTGCCTCTTGTATGCGCCCAATGGGGGACCAAACCCGCAATGCAGCCATGTGTCCTAACTAGAAATTGAACCAGTGACCTTTTACTTTGAGGGAGGGATGCACAACCAACTGAGCCACACAGTCAGGGCAGGCTTTTGATTTTTAAGTCACAATGGAAAGTTGCTTTATTACATGAGTCAAGATATGATATAATTCAAGGGAATGAAATGTGTACCTATACACAGACTTTTGCTTCTAACAAATTCATCTTTAAAAAAATAAGAAAAATTTAAAAAATTGTATCTCATTTTGGCATCATATTTTAAAAAACCCAACATTTTGCCATAAGACAAGTTTGTATAATTAAAGACTTCAAAATATAGCATGTATTATTTTCTCACAGGGCACCAGGTACTAATATGTATAGATCACTTAAAAAATAACAGAAATTGTATGAAAATCAGCACAATACTTCATTTATTTATTGTATTTGGCAGAAAGCACAGAAATCCAGCAATATTTTAAACATGTAAAAAAGTCAAATGCTGAACAGTAATGGGGATTTTCTTTTTTTAACATAATTACTAGTAATGAGCACACGTATGATTCTGCGAAGCTAGCAAAATAAGGGTGCTTGGCTTCTGAACATACACCACAAATACACACACCAAAAAACAATATAATTTATCTTTACAAAAATTACAGCCAAGCAATAGAAAAGAAGGTTAATAATGAAGATCCTAACACGTATGTTCACTACATATATCCCATACATTAAAATGCTACATCTTGTACCCTGAAATGCCATGTGTAGAGAGCCAAGCACAGTAAATTTAGGCTCATCACTGAGGTTGAGAATTATCTGAGAAGAATTTAATGCTTATTTGTAACATACTCAAATTCTATGTAGCAATTCCTAGATCATAACAATGTATTCCACTATGTATCTGAGAAGTAGAATCTTTGTTGGCAGTATAAAACTTCTGACCAGTACCAAAATTCTGATAAAACACAAACTGAAGGCATTTTTTAGTGTATGCAAATGTTACAGGGGGCATCAACGACTGTGGGAGAAGGTCATAGATTTCACACTAAGTTTCTGCTGAGCTTTGTCAAACCAAACAGCTCAACTATAAGGCAAGAAAAAATAACCCCCTATAACAGATTAGTAGGTCTTACCAAGTAAAGATAGGAATTTAATTTTAGGAAAAAATTATCTACATAAACAGATCCGAAACAACTGGAATTGAAATGAACATCTAAAATTACCCAACATCTTGACATTCAGTCCTTGGTTCAGAAGCCTGACAAACAATCTGTTGGTATATTTTATCAAATTAACTTAGAATCAGCACCAGTCCCCAAAACCTCAAATTATTATATTTAATCTTCATTCAAATAGATCCTTTTGTGCTATTAAAACATATCTACAATTAAATTAAAGAAAGCTGAATTTACTCAACTTATGTATTTTTGTATAGACTGGGTAGCAACTTAAATTTTGATTTACTTGTGCTTCTGTTCTGGGGCACTTTGATTGAAGAGAAATTCAATTCACAAGATTACATTTTGCTAAAGCATTCCTTAGCATTGGTCCAAACTTGAATTCCCTTTAAAAAACAAAACAAACAAAAAAAAACAAGAGAATTTTAAAATGTGATTTTCAAAGGATCCTGGAAGCCCAAGTATCTGGATTGCTGGTATGCGACATTTTGCTTTTTGGAATAATTAACAAGTCTAGCAACAATTGACACTTTCTGGCAATGGCTAATATAAGTGAAGGTCTAACCCAGAGGTGTCAAACTCATTTTCACGGGGGGCCACATCAGCCTCGAGGCTGCCTTCAAAAAGCCGAATGTAACTTTAGGACTGTGTAAATGTAACTACTCCTTAACTAGGGGCAAGGAGCTCGGCGCTGCCACTAGGTAGAAACAAGGTGCCAGCTGGCTGGATTTGGTCCACAGGCCTTCTGTTTGCCACCTGTGGTCTAACCCCTTTTGAAAATAAGAAAATCATTTGTATGAGCCTATCTTCAAAATGCAGACAGAACTACCACTTCTTTTTCAAAAACTGATTTTCAAGATTCAAAACATAAACTCATTTACTCACATCACATATTTGTATCATTTCTATTTGTAAACCAAACATGTTTTCATGTAGTTTTTCTATGTAATTTTTTTAAAGGTTTTATTTTATTTTTAGACAGAGGGGAAGGGAGGGAGAAACAGGGAAAGAAACATCAATGTGTGGTTTCCTTTCACGTGCCTCCTACTGGAGTCCTGGCCTGAAACCCAAGCATTTGCCCTGACTGGGAATTGAACTAGTGATCCTGTGGTTCACAGGCTGGCACGCTGTCCACTGAGCCACACCAGCCAGGGCTCTATGTAATTTTTGGAAAAAAAAAAAAAAACAAAAACAAAAACAAAAACAAAACAAAACAAACAAAAAAAACTTATTAGTCTAACAATTAAATATGAATGAACAGATTATTAAATCATTACTCTAGCAACTTTTTAAAAAAGATTTCTTTCTTTTTAGAGAGAGGGAAAGGGAGGAAGAGAGGGAGAGAAACATCAATGCGTGGTTGCCTCTCGCACACCCCCAACTGGGGACCTGGCCTGCAACCCAGGCATGTGCCCTGACTGGGAATCCAACTAGTGACTCTCTGGTTCACAGGCAGGCCCTCAATCCACTGAGCCACACCAGCCAGGGCTAGTAACTAATGTTTTGATAGAAACCAATTATACTAAACTATCAAATCCCTCTCAGGTTCTGGTAGGCTACTTTGCACAAAGCTAATATTGATACAGTATACCTAATATGCTTAAACAAAAGGCATGTTTGGAGAAATTTAACAGTAAAATCTAAGGAAGTGGTAGAAATAAAAATATTTTTTTCAGTAACAAGATACATATTCTCTAATAGTTACTAAACTATGAAGACATACTTTAATATTTACATGTTAAAATATGTATATATTTAATGAGGCTTCAAACAACAGGGAAAACAAAAAACAAAAAACACAAGAATTCAGGCCCTGACCGGGCTTCTCAATTGGTTAGAGCATTGTCCCAATACACCAAGGTTGCAAGGTCAATTCCCGGTCAGGGCACATACAAGAAACAACCAATGAATGCATCAATAAGTGGAACAACAAATTGATGTTTCTCTTTCTCTCTCTAAAAATCAATTTTAAAAAAACAATCTTTTCAGTTTTTTTCTTCCTTGATGGAATATAAAAAACACATAAATTTAAAAAAAAAACACAAAAATCCTTTAAAATGCCTCAGATTGGCTGAATAAAGAAAGTACTAGCTGATGAATAGAGTATCCATTCTTAGAAAGGATAAGACAGATCTTATGCACTGTCACAGCAAGATGTCTATGAGACACCAACTTGAAATACAAGAATGGTGCACTAGTACATATAATGCAATCTTGTTTGTTGTGGGGAAGAAGAAAGTGTATATTTTCTGACCAACTGTATGTATAAAAATGTCTGAAAGGATACATGTGAAGGTGTAACAGTGGTCAATTTTCTAAAAGAGATTTGAGTAAGAGGATAAGAATTTTTATTTAATAATACTTCTGGATTGTTTGATATTTTTACAACGAACAAATGTTATTTTTAACATTTAAAAATATTTCAAAAATTTATTTTCATCAGTAACATTTTTTATTAAAAAATATAGCTTGAAAACCAATCATCTCTTTAAAAAGCCTCAGCCTCCTTGATTCAATTAGAAAATTCACTATCAAAAAGGTTGACCAAAGAAATACAAGTGATATTTACTTTTAATGTTAAATTAACATTTTATTAAAATTTTTGTTTTGGTTTATTACTACTGTAATTTAGTATTTGATCATATTTAATTACCATTATAATTACATTAAGTACGATTTTAAGCTATATACAAGTAAAATATTCCAAATATGGCCACCCATATTTATCAAAAAAAAACAAAAACAAACAAAAAAAACAAAAAAACCCAAAACTAATGTTATTCTTAACTTCTTGTACTTAAAAGAAAAGAACATTGTAGCTCTAGGCAGGTAGCTTAGTTGGTTAGAGTGTCATCCTGATATGCCAAGGCTGTGGGTTCAATACCCCGTCAGGGCACATGTAAGAATCAAATGACGAATGCATTAAGTGGAACAACAAACTGATGTTTCTCTCTCTTTCTCTCTCCCCTACACCAAGTCAATAATTGAAAAACAAAAGAACACTGTAGATTTTCAAATATAAAAATCTTTTCCTATTACGGAAAATAATAAAACATGATGAAACTTTCTAGTACTATTCTTGGGAAATAAGGTGAACACACATTCTTATTAATCTCATGGGAGTAAACTATTGCTTACTACAGTTATTCTCTTAGGATACATGAGTTGACCCACAAGATATCCAAGGTACATCCAAATGTACCCATAGTAATATCTTTTTTTATTCAGAGATTAATTTGTAGCACCTTCAATGGACCCACTCTAAGCAAATGGGGAAAAAAGTTCTTTGAACCATTATATAAAGTCTGCATTTTATTTTGGGGAAAGAAACAAATGGAAGATCACAAGCAGCTTATTAATAAGTCTTTTATAGGAAAACAAAACGAAACCAACTCAGAAAACCTTTGTTACCTGATCTTTCAGACCGCCCAAGATTGAAAAAGGAAGATTAGTAAGACTGTAAGTGAGAAGCACCCTGTGACGCAAGGCAGGCTGTGGAGTTGACAGGATAATAGCAACAGACAGAAACACCACCAAACTGCAACAGAGTCAATCATCAGCATTTGCAGATCAGTGGGTCATGATTTTAACTTCTCTTAAGTGACCCAAAGATCCACAACATAAATTACCTTACAATTTCGCTGAGTCAAAAATATTATGAATTAGTCCAATACAAAAGGAGCCCACTTGACTAGCGTTTGTGCCTCAAAATATGTTCTTTACTGCAATTACTGATGATATAAGTGAAATGGTCTAGGTGAGAAGTGATGGCTCCTAGCCATAAAAACAGACTGTGGATAAATTAAAGCATAAAAGTATTTATAGGAGTGTGACTTTCCTTCTAAGAAGGTCTTCATAAATATGGGAATTCATCTTACTATATGATTTTCTGAGATAAGGCATGTAAAATCGCTTGATGAATTGTGAAGTGACAGACAAATGTAAAGCACACAGGCAGATCGTGAGTTATGACGTTAAGAATGTTTTTTATTTTGTTCTTATAACAGCATTTTAGAAAGAGTTCCACCACTGTGAAAACACTTATTTTAACTAAAATGAGCTTCACTGTTTGTACCTTCTACAGGCAGCATAGCTTGCATTCATTTAGGAAAATGAGGTTCTTTTTCAACCAAAGTACCCATCTTTGTTAGGAATCGTATTTTACTGCCCCACCCAAAGACCACCATATAACCAAATACAAGTGACAAATGGAACACACAAGTTTGGAACTTTGCTTGGAACTTTGCATGAGTTGGAGACGCAGCAACTGATATTTTGATTATGCCCCTTCTTTTAAAGTTAAGTAGATAAATTGGGAAGTATTCTGAAAGGGAGGAAGAGTGGGCTTAAAAATGAAAATAATAAATATTTTGATTCAAATAAAAATAGTTTTTTAAAAATCTGTAGGAACTTCACTGAAACCAAAACGTACCTTTTTGCACATACTGATCTGCATGACTGCATAACTTATGAGGGCCTCCTTTAAATCACGGTTCTTTTGCTCCTTGAAGCGTTCAATATCGGCCCAAGCATTTTTCACAAATTCTCTAAAATAAAAGGTATAGTCATTGTTATTATCATTATTTTTTAAAAATATTTTATTTATTTATTTTTAGAGAGGAGAAAGGAGGGAGAAAGAGAGGGAGAGAAACATCAGTGTGTGGTTGCTTCTCACATGTCCCCCTATTGGGAACCTGGCCCACAACCCAGGTATGTGCCCTGACTGGGAATCAAACCAGCGACCCTTTGGTTTGCAGGCCGGCATTCAGTCCACTGAGCCACACCAACCAGGGCTAATCACTGTTATTATTATTTAAATTAAGTAAACTTATTTTATAAATTCAAATAACCAGTTCTCATTTGAGTTGGTTTTTATTTTTCTATACATGGGAAAAGATCTATTGTGTAAGATCTGTTTTTCTCTTCCTAAAAATTAGTGGGAGAAAAAGCAGATAAATATTCTACTACATTTTAATAATCTATATTTCTGCCACAAGAATTCCAGCTTCAAATTATTCCTATAAAACAGACAGAGCTGGCTCACTGCACCAGTTCACAGGCCTAACAGATACCACATGAAGTTGCCTGCCTGGGGTCACTGGGAAATATATACTCGTTTTGACAAGATGGATTATGTATCACATTTATCATGTACTTGCTTATAATGACAACTAAGTTTTAAAAATTCTGATAAGCATTTGTCTTTTTAACTGTATTCATGAAAGTTTACTTTGACTTATTTGGTGCCAAGAATTCTAAAAATTAACAAAACCACCTCCAAACCAATGACATTCTCTTTGTCTGCCTTGGTCTACTCACTGACTAACATATGAAAACAATAAGGAAAATGAACCGAACAGTGATGGCAGATCTTTGAAAACTGAATTTCTAGAAACATTTATGTAATAATTATATAGCAAGCCCTATGCAAGATGTTGTAACATAAAGATGAAAAAGACAGTCACTGGCTTTGAAGAGCTTGTAATGTAGCCAGGGACACTCACACAGAGCAACTAACCAACCAGTACAACGCTGCTGTGCTACAGTGGCATGAACCAAATGTTACAATAGCCTGTGAGGATAATAGAAGGCTTCACAAAGGAAGTAACACAAGAGCTGGGCACTGAAGAATGGTCAGGCTTTTGTTTAATGACAGGAAAAAAGGGCAGAGGGAATATGCAAAGGATAGAAATCATGAATAGTACAGCAAAATAATATTAGAAGCTAAAATTTTCCTCCTCCCTCCCCCATACTAAAACTGCTTCTATAACATATTTTTGATAACTCGAATTTCTTAGGAATTCAATAACTGCATTTTAGAAGCACATGCCATATCCAGAGATACTAATGAAATTGGGAATTACTATAAAGCAACAATCTGTCATGTAGACAAGACTGGCTTTGTTAAACATCTCAGCATTTTTACCTGCCTTCCAGATTTTTAGACTTTAGCTGCTGTTCTCCTTCACTTATTTGTTCTTCAAGCACCTTGATTCTGGCTTCTCTCTGCTCCGGAGTTTCTTGACCGAAGAGCTTCGTAGTCATTCCTTTCAAAGAAAATGTTCTCACAGTCTAAAATGATATAGAAATAGATGAATGGATAAACATGATATATACACACCAAGAAATATTACTGAGTCATAAAAGGAAGGAAACTCTGACATATACTACAATATGGATGAGTCTTGAGGACATTATGCTCAGAGAAAATAAGCCAGTCACAAAAAGACAAATACTCTCTGATTCTACTCATAGGCGGTGTCTAGAGTAGCCAGCTTCACAGACAGAAAGTACAATGGTAGTTGCCAGGGGTTGGGGGAAAAGGTAAACTGACAGGTGATGTTTAATGGGTTTATTTTCAATTTTGCAAGGTGAAGAGTTCTGGAAGTTGGTTGCACAATGTGAATGTACTTACTCCTGAATTGTACACCTAAGAACAGTTAAGATGATAAATTTTATGTTATATATATTTTGCCACAATTAAAAACTTAAAAAAAAAAGAGAACAAAGCTTTCCTCATTCCCCCCGTGCCGGATCAGAGGCACCATAAGTGTACAACCAAGGGGCTTCTAATACGACTGCTAACACTGGAATAATATGGAATATACAAAAAGGGTAAAATTCTAACCAAACTTCTTAAAAGAATGGAAAACTTCTAGCTGAAGTAGTAGGCAAATTATTTCTTAAAAAAAAAAAAGATTTTATTTATTTTTAAACAAAGGGGAAAGGAGGGAGAAGAAAAAGGAGAGAGACATTGATGTGCAAGAGAAACATGAATCTGCTGCTTCTCACGTGCCCCCACCTGGGACCTGGCCCACAACCCAGGAATGTGCCCTGACTGGAAATCAAACTGGTGACCTTTCGGTTTGCAGGACAACATCCAAGCCACTGAGCCATACCAGTCAGGGCACGCAAATGATTCCTTTATATTAGTAGTCATATTTTTCAAAATTACTCTGATTCAACAGGTCAAAAAAAATAAACCAAACTAAAAAACACACAAACATTTAAAATTGGCTTAATATTATTACACTGAAGTATGGGCATCTTTAATAAATATGATGCCCAAGCATTAAGCCTCACTGTGTTAACATCTCTCCACTCTCTGCAGTTTGCAAATAGAAACACTTTTCCCATCACATGTAAGAGCAGAGAACCAAGCTCCCTGAAAATGTACTGGGAATTTCCCGAGTTTTAATAATAAATTAAGCCTAGTATAAAACCATTTCATGGCCAAAGGTGTTTTCCTACATAAATCTATGATTTTTCACACATGTAGCAAGTGAGTAACCTTATAAGCACTTTTAAAATTGAAGTACTTGTTAGCTATGAAGTGACTTATAAATGGTAGCACTGCTACTGTTTCATTACTTGCAGATTGTATACTCTCACCGTGACAGCAAACTTATTTCAATGATAGCCAGTAGAGTAAAAAGCTGGTTATAAAAATGATCTAAGCCCTGCCTGGTGTGACTCAGTGGATTGAGTGTAAGCCTGCAAACTGAGAGGCCACCAGTCCAGTTGGGGCACATGCCTAGGTTGTGGGCCAGGTCCCCATCTGCGGGCATGTGAAAGGCAACTGATCAATATTTCTCTCCTTCTCTTCCTTTCTCTCTGAATATAAATAAATAAAAAAAATTTTTAAAAAAGATCTAAGTCTAATACAGTAAGATACAGAATTTTCTTCAAAAGACTCACTATAAGCATTCAAGAATAAAGTACATAAAAATGTCCTTGTAGAGAGGTGGATAGATTCTAACTGGGTATAGCTTTACCAAATAAACTAAAATACCTTGTAATATTAAAGCTGACAAAGAGTTTTAATGGTTTAACTCAAATAACTAATAAAAACTCAATGGTTTTTTTGTTCATTTGAACTTAATCAGAAATGACACTTCACAGAGAAATGTTAGCAAATAGCTTACAATACTACAGCTTATGTGTTTTTATATCAAGATCACAACCAAAGAATTACCAAGTTATTCCAAAATTATTCCCCTGTAAAAGCTACAGGTATCCTGAGTATTACAACTGCAGCTTATTCCATATAAGGCTTGCTACAATAACACCAGAGACCTCAATGGGAAAACACTCACCCCAGTTGCCAGTTCCTCACATTGCTGCTTCTTGGACGCTAGGTCCTGAGCAGCCATCTCCAAGTCATACTGCATAAGTTCATGTTTCCTGCACACAGCCCTAGGGAATGGAAAAAAGTGCTGCCATTTAATTGTTGTGGCTTCTCTTTTAGTACATTAAATTTTTTTTCAGGGGAGGCACCACAATGTCTTGGCAGGGTCATAAATTGCGTACCCAGAATTTTCAAGTTTAAATGTACTAGCCTAATATTAAAAATTAAATCTAGCAGGACCTAAACATAAAAACCTTGTACGTCTTAAAACAAAAAGTTGTATTCTAGATACTCGTACTTTTTTTCAATAAACATACAAAATTATCACATCATAAAAAATATTTTGTATAACAGAGACTAATGCTCTAATCTTATAGCAACTGAATATTCTTTGAAAATATATCTCAAAGCTTTCTTCTTTTTTATTTAGATACATCTATTAATTTTTATTATCATAAAAGTAACCCATGCTTATTGTAAAAAAAAATTCTAACACACAAATGCACAAAACAAAGTTTCAAGAACCCTGTCTTTTCCCCAGTCCCACTATCTGGACACAACTTAGTTAACTGATGGTACATATTCTTTCAGACTTTAGCTAGGCATTTACGAATACATTATCTGCATGTCCCAAGTGAGTCCACATCTTTTCTTACTTAACTATAGACCATGAACATGTTTCTATATCAATACACGTTAATCTTTTCCATAATTTTTAAGAGCCTCAGAAAATTCCACTGTATTCAGCAACTTTCTACTGCTTGGTAACTTGAAAACCTTGGTGAAACTACTTACTACTCAACGCTCTAGAAGGAAAATGGCTAATAATGTTATGTTTTCATACCAGCTACTGAACAGGTAAAGAAATAGTACTCCACTGTTTTACTAACAGAATTTTTTTTGTAATAGAATTTTTATACTGCTTTTAAAAGTGACAGGAAAATTATCAAAACTGGTTACAAACAAAAGCAACCTGTCATAAGAAAATGATTCACTTTTCTAAAATACAAAGAAAAAATATGGTAACTTCTTAATTAATAAGACTGCCTACCAGAGGGTTCTGTTTGGCTCTGTAAGAGATACCACAATAGAAGAAGACAAAGTCCTGATACTAAGAAGTTTTAAATACTAAGGAGGTAAGATATGCAGGTACAAAAAAATTACAGAATAAAAATGGTAACATACAACCTAGTAACAGATAGTGTTACACACATACTCAATCTGTTCTTTCCTTCTGACCTTCAAAAAAAAAAAAAAGTACAAAGAACATACAGAGACCTGATGCCTGAGAGTGACAAGTTTTAACAATGTACTATTTCAAGGACAAGGATTATCTTAAATTTCCATGCCTAGCACTCTGAAACACAGAGGACTACAGAGATATTTCATTCAGTACCTGGAGGAATAAGTTCAATTAAAAATTTTACTACTCATTAAAAAAACCTCACTATTACTATTTTAGAGAAGCATGTAGTAGACTGACCAGCCAGAGGGCTGCATCTGAAACATTTACATACTTACCGTAGGGCTTCTGCATAAAAAAGATACTCCTTTAACTGATCTGCATAATGTTCTTCATCTTCCAAAATATCATCAATAGAAGATGCATACCTGTTTAAAAAAAACACTGCAGAAATAACTTTTACCAGTTAGGACATTATAAAGAAGCTAATCAAAGTGTGGTCCACAGACCACTTGCTACCCATTAGTAACAAAGGTAGGTACAGAAAGTGAGAATAAACATTTAGAAATATTTATAGGGATTTCTAATTACCATGACACAATTTTATTACATTTATTTACTATAATGTTTCAATCAGCAATGGCTTGGAAATAGAAAAAACAAAAAAATGGTCCTTCTTACAGGTAGCTTAAGAAGCATTGTTAAGACTGTAATATAGTTTGTTCAAAGATAACTATAGTATAAAGATACTATACTATACTACAAAATCTGCAGAAAGAATAACAGTTTAGTATAACTGGTGCACAATGTTCCTGGTAGCAACCACATACAGTAATGCCAAAAAGCTATCAAAGGAAAAGTTAAGCAAATAATGATTACAGAAAATTTCAGAAGCCTTATTTTAATCAAATTCTCAATAAATCTCTGCTTTGATTCAACCAACCCCTCATTGTTATACCATTCTTGTTCCTGGACCTGAATCTTTCCTTGCATAGAAATGTGATGGCTCTCCAAATCCTACAAGCACGTAACCTGGACACCTCTAGGAAATCTTGACAGACTACTGAAGTCCCTATTCATCATGCTACATCTGATATCTTACCAACAATGTAAAACTTATACTGTATCAAAGTGCTATCTCAAGTATTGGTTTTATTTCTCTGATCACACTATAAATTCTGTAAGGACATGGGTCATGCCATTTACGGCTTCTGTATAGTATAATGGTCATGCTATTTTCAAATTAATTCTAATTCCTTAGCATGGGAATAAAAGAAATACTGTCTCTCGGCCTACTTCATGTAGGTAAGCAAACAAAGTTCACTGAAGTTCTAAAAATAAATAAGTAAACCTAAGTTAAGGTTCACTAAAAAGTGATATGCTTATAGGATTTATAAAAGTAGCAAATTACATGTTCTATAATTACAAATTTGCATTTCTAGAGTGTGGAATATTTTCTAAGAATCACTGCTTTGAGTAGGGAAAACTGCCTTTAGCTCATAACCCTATGATACTAAAGAAGAGTATCATAGGGTTATGAGTTAATGTCAATGAAACAAAAAAGAAAAACCACAGGACTAGTGGTTTAAAAAATAGGGTAAACAACACACTCTTGGGTAGGAAAGTTTAACTGGTTGAGTATTTTAGCTACAAGTACTAACATTAATTTTATTTAATACTTTATAATCAACTGAAGGAATAATACTAAATTCCTGCAAATACTGAAAATGTTATGTCAACAAAATGAAGGAAGACTTCTTAACAAACTAGTTGAGAAGTAGCCAGTTAGCTGAAATATGGCCCACAGAAAAATACCTAGATAAAATTTATTTTAAAAATTTATTATTATTGAACTGTGGTTCTTTACATATTAAGGTTAGAAATGTTTAATCCTAGTCTGTGACTTGCTTTTCATCATCTTAATGGAGTCTTCTGTATGTATGTAGTAAAAAATACGTAACACAAAAATCTACCTTTTTTAAAAAAATTTTAGACCTGACTGGTGTGGCTCAGTGGATTGAGTGTCAGCCTGTGAACCAAAGAATCGCTGGATCTATTCCCAGTCAGGGCACGCAGTGGATGCCTGGTTTGCAGGCTAGGTCCCCAACAAGGGGCACATGAGAGGCAACCACACATTGATGTTTCTCTCCCTCTTTTTCTCCCTCCCTTCCCCTCTCTAAAATAAATAAAATCTTAAAAAATTTTTTTAAATCCTCACCCAAGGATGTGTTTATTGACTTTTTAAAGAGAGAAGAAGATTGACCAGTTGCTTCCTGTACACACCCCAACCAAGTACCAAACCCACAACCTAGGTATGTGCCCTGACCAGAGATCAAATCTACACCCTTCTGGTGTATGGAACCAACTCCAACCAACTGATCCACCTGGCCAGGGCCCTTTTTAAGAATTTTTAAGTGTACAGTATGGTGGCATTAAGATAGATTCACATTTTTTAAAAAAATATTTCTTTATTTTACTTTATTTATTTTTAGAGAGGGAAGGGAGGGAAAAAGAGAGAGAAACATCAATGTGAGGTTGCTGGGGGCCGTGGCCTGCAACCCAGGTGTGTGGCCTGACTGGGAATCGAACCTGCGACACTTTGGTTTGCAGCCCGCGCTCAATCCACTGAGCTACGCCAGCCAGGGCTAGATTCACATTTTTTTAAATTGACTTGAGAGAGACAGAGAAGGAGAGGTGGGGTGGCGAGGGGGGAGAGAGAGAGAGAGAAACATCAATCTATTGTTCCACTTGCTGATGCATTCACTGGTTGATTCCTGTATGTGCCCAGACTGGGAATCAAACCTGCAACCTGGGCATATCAGGACCATGCTCTCACCAACTGAGCTATCTGGCCAGGGCCAGATCAGTCCAGTATATTCACGTTGTTATGCAACCATCACTACCATCCATCTTCTCAACTAAAACAGTACCCACTGAACAGTAACTCCCACATTCTTCCTCCTCCATAGGATTTGTCTTTTGATAGGCAAAATTTTAAATTTTGATGAAGAACAATTTACCACTATTTTTTTCTTCTGATGTCCTCCTTCAGAAATCTTTGCTTGCTCAAAGGTTACAACAATATTTTCCTGTTTTCTACTAAAATGCTGTAATTTTAACTTTTGCACTTATGCATATGGTCCAAATTGAATTAGTTTTTATATAAGGTGTGAAATATGCCTCAAGGTTCATGTTTTTCCCTCCATGCAGGTATCTAATGTTCAGAATAATTTCTTGAAATGGACTACATAAATATAAGTCTATTCCTGTACTCTACTCTGTTCCATTGATTTATTTATCTCAATACCTTACTACTTTGGTAACGAAGTCTTAAAATCAGGTAATATACTCCAAATTTTTTTTCAAGATTATTTTGGCTATCCTGGATCCTCTGAATTTCCATATACATTTTAGAATCAGCTTATCAATTTCTGTTACATAGTCACTGTAATTTTGATTAGGGCTATAATCCAGAAGAATGGTCATATAAACATTACTGAGTCTTCCAAACCATAAGCATGATGTCTCTCTCCATTTAAGTCTTCTTTAATTTCTCTTAGCAATGTTTATATATAAAGTTTTCAGTATAGAGGTCTTTCACATCTTTCATTAAACTAATCTCTAAGTACTCTGATTTGATGCTATCACAAATAGCATTATTTTTTAAATTTTTATTTTCTAGTTGCTAGTATATAAAAACCAATAATTTTTTTATATATTGCTAGTTCTATAACATTTTTGGTTGAATCTTTGTTTTTTTCCCCAAAGATTTTATTTATTTATTTTAGACAGAGGGGAAGGGAGGGGGATAAAGAGGGAGAGAAACATCAATTTGTAGTTACCTCTCATGTGTCCCCTACTGGGCACCTGGCCTGCAAACCAGGCATCCACTGGGTGCCCTGACTGGGAATTCAACCAGCAACCCTTTGGTTCACACACCAGCACTCAATCCAGTGAGCCACACCAGCCGGGGCTGATTCGTTATGTCTTTTAATGTAAAAGATACTGTTAACTGAAACTAAAGACAGTTTTACCTCTTCCTTTCTAAGGTTTATTCTAAGATGGGTTTTCTGGCCTCATGGCACAATTAGGACCTCTAAGACAATAGCAGACAACCTTGCTTGTTCCTGATCTTATGAGAAAGTGTCAATATTTCACTATTAAGTACAATATTAGCTGTACATTTTAGACTGAGATAATACCTTTCATTCCTAATTAGATCATTTTTACTGTGAATTAATGCTGAAATGCTTTTTCTACATGTATTGAAACAAACATACAGACTTTCTTATTTATTCTGCTAATATATGAGTTAGACTGATTAGTTTTTAAATGTAAAGTCAACCTTACAACTCCTGAGATAATCTTTAAGACAGATCTGATGCACAAAGCATAATATAAATGCCAGAAAACTTGGTAACAGAAGAAAAGAAGAGTCACTAACACTTTACCACTAGACTTCACCTTAGGTTCTACCTCATACTCTCTGGGCACTTACACGTCCATGTGATGACCAGCACTCTGCAGTCCATCTCCCATTTCTTTTTCTATCGCACTCCATTCACTAGCAAGAAAAAAGATAAAACCAAAAACATCCTGAATTAGATGTGATTAGTAAATACAATCTTTTAAAAGGCCTTTTTTCTAACTAGCTTTTAAACAATGTATAGTATCTACATTTGGATTTATTTTCTGTGACTCAAAAATGCTGCTTTCCCCTTAAGTTTAACAACTAAATGCAAGTGAAGGCTATAAAATGTTAGTTCAAAGGTTGATAACCTGCTACTGACAAGTGTAAAGTAAGTATCATACAAAACAGCTTCTACTTACAGACAACTTTCTCAGTGAGGGTGCCTATTTAAACCATTTGTGGAGCTTTTAGAAATTATGGGGCTCACCCTGCTCTTGATCTAATTAGGCAGAATCTCTGGGGTAGAGCTGGGCATACATTTTTAAACACTCCACAGATGGTTCTGACGAACATTCCTGATTATATCACACTATATAATGCTAACACAAAAAATGATTGTACAAAAACATTAGGTACACAGAGAGATTTCAATTATTTTCAGAAAGTTTACTAAAAATCACAGATTATTTTGCTGAAATGCTCCAGGTAAAAATTCCTTTTTACAGAAGATATATATATAATAGCAAACTGGGAGAATCAATATATATGGTGCAATGGTTTACAGCTGTTTTTTATTTACTGTATTTTGCTGTGTATAATGCGCTCTTGTATATACTGTGTGCCTATGTTTTAGACCCAAACTTTCAGGAAAAAAAAGCTTTCATTTTAACTTTTTAACTCAATTTTTTATTTATTTATATTTAGAAACAAAACCAATTACTGTATTCCAGTGTATTATTCTACATACAGATATCATTATTGCTTTCTAGAGTTATACTTTTAATGCTTAAGCATAAATAGAAGAATTAAAAACATTTATATAGATATGGAATCAACACTACCCATATATAATGTGCATCTTTATTTTTCCCTCAAAATCTTGGGCAAAAAGGTGTGCATTATACATGGCAAAATGTGGTATTTTTTTTAATCCTCACCTGAGGAAATTTTTTTCATTGCTTTTTAGAGAGAGAGAAGCGGGGCAGAGAGAATCGATTGGAGACATTGATTGGCTGCCTTCTCGTATGCGTCCCAACTGGGGATTGAACCTATAACCTTTTGGTGAACAGGACAGGACAACAACCAACTGAGCCACACCAGCCAGGGTAGTTTAACAATTTTAAATTCACTTTTTTATGACTTAAGTGAAGTTGTTTTAATCCACTTGTTTATGACTGCTATACAAATGAAGTAAGTTATTTCAGGATGTCATCATCTCACCTAATGTCCCTGATAAGTATCTCAGCAGCCTAGCTGCTGAGGGGCGCTACTGGGCACTCATCAATAAAAATGTGTGGAGAGCATGGTAATGGATTTATGGCAGGCCTTTCTCTGTCAGCCTGTCATAGTATTCCCACACCAGAATAAACTGCAGCCTCAAACCACTGCTCTGCCTCCTTACCAGTGGACTGTGAGCAACGATGGGGGATTGTACAATTTAAAAAAGAAAAGGAAAGAAAAAAGAAAAGGCAGAGGAGGAACAAAAAAAGAATGTGTGGAGAAGCAACCATGGCAAGGGGACATTTAGACCATAAATACTGAGTTTGTGAGGACTATTTGAGAGTTCAGTTTGGGTGAGGTGACTCTTCACCAACCAAAAATCTCTTAAGTCCCTTGGGGCATTAACTCCTGCTATGGGCAGTGGCTCAGTGGCCCCATAAAGGAAGTCAACCTGCCTAACAGCACCAGCTTCTTTGTTCCTAGCAGCATGCTCTAGCAACAGAGGGATTTCACTTTTGCACTGGCAGCTGGAAATCAGCTCTTGGTTGGTCACCGACTCTGCCTTGCATAAAAAGGTACTTCAGGTACGCGTCATACTAAATTTGGACTTTATTCCTTCATTGCCCCTTACCCAGAACAATACTGAGATTAATGTGTCATTTGTTAAAGTATGTTATTTCTTTATTTGGCTTATTAAGAGATATTCTTTATTGGCTATTATCCTGTATGCTATTGGTGTGTAACATTTTAATTCCCACAACTAAACTGTGCTAAATAAATTGTTGCCAGCCCTGGATGAGTAGCTCAGTTGGTTAGAGTGTTGTCCCAATATATCAAGGTTGTGGGTTTGATCCCTAGTCAGGGCACATACAAGAATTAACCAATGAAAGCATAATTCAGTTGAACAACAAATTGATGTTTTTCTCTTTCTGCCCCACCCCCTAAAATCAATAAATAAAAGTTTTAACCACTTAAACAAAAATGGTTGCCAAAAACATGGTTTCTAAGTATAACTTCTGCTGCCTCCCCAAACAAAACAATCTATAATCCCAAATACCAAGAGATGACATAAGTTGATATATTTCCTTCTAGTCTTTTTATTTACTCATTTTACTGTGTCTGAGATCACACAATATACACAACTTTATATCATGTTTTTTCTCTTTAACAGTATTTACCCATATTATTAAAATAATTTGTTCTAAGCACTGCTTCAAATGGTAACTCATAATTTTTTAAAACCATTTTCCTGGACATTCATGTTGTTTCCAATTTTCCTGCTATGAAAATGATGTCTGATGAATATCGTCAATTGTACCACAGCTTAAAAGAAAAAACTTAAAACACTACTTTATATACTATTCTCAAAATAATCAAATTATATGCTTATAGTACTAGAAGGAAAAAAGTCACATGTTTTTTAATATTGCCAAAGAAGAAAAACAAACATGTAAATCATCTATGTAACCAGTACAGTTATGATTAAATAAAATAGGCAGGACTACCTCTGATAATTTTCTTTCCTCATATGTTTAACTACTCTCAAAAAGTAAAAGCAACAGTTACTTTTTTAGTTCTTTGCTGTTTATAAAATGGATTTTTAATATTTCTAGCTACAATATAAGCTCTAAAGCTGCATTTCTAATGGTTACAAGACAATTCTGTTTTTATATAGCTCTGTCACTTCAAATTTAACATATCCAAAACCTAGTTCTTTATGTAAAAAAGAAAATCTAGGAGTTTTGGTGGATTACAGGTATGGTAGGCAAACAGACATGAGCAAAGCTGATGGGCCAGGTACAGAAGGTCACTGGGGTTGAAAGTCCAGATGCCTAGCAATGGGCAAAACTTACCGCCCTCCCCCATATCTCCCCTAGCATATGTCTGGTCAAACAGTTTAGACCCTCCTTCATATTGTTCATCATCAGGGTTCAAACCCTCCCAACTATTCCTTGTCCTTGCATGTCACTAGTCATGTGGAAGACCCTCTTACACAGGGAACAAGGGGCAGAATAGCCTCCTGAGACACTGGTACAAAGCCCTTGCACAACCACTTCTTTAAGCATTACTCCTGGAGTAAGCCTCAATTGTGTTTCAGCTCCCAGCCCCAAAAGGCAGAAAAAACAGACAAGACAAGATACAGCTGGCCTCAGGAAAGGCTGTATTGACTAATGACCCCCTGCACTGACACCAATAATCAGTGGAGACCATGACCCTGAAAGGACACACCTGAAAAGGACACACCTAGAAAGCTGATGACTAGTCTATTAAGATACTCCCTTGGGACCTCCCCTAAAATCCCTGCCCTTAAAAGTCCTCAGGACAGAGGAACCAGCGTGCCCTCCCTCCAGGAGCACACCCTTGCCTCTTCCCCCCAGGCACAGTATCTTTACCTTTCCCTCTCTTAAGCTCCAAGGGCCCTTCTTTTGCCTCTGTAACTTGTTTCCTAAGCCCATTTATGCTACAGATCACTTCTACATCTGTGACTTTTAGGTAAACTTTCTCCTATAGTTTGAGTCTTGGCTCTGAATTCATTTCCAGACAAAACTCAAGAACCAAGGTTGTAGAACCAAGGTCCAGTGTGACACCACCAGTCTAACACCTGGTGCTGTTCTTGCCACCACCAACACAGACCCAATGTGTGATGTAGCAATCACAGTCAATGCAGTGGTAGCTCCATTAACAGAAATGAGGGACAGTCCAAATCAACTGTCTACTGGATGCCCCACAGGCACTTCATCCATCTAATCTTCAAGCACCTTTTTAATGTACGAGCAACTCAAAGTCAACATAACCAAATTAAAACCTTTTTAAAAAACAGACTAAAAACTGCCCCGGCTGGTGTGGCTTGGTGGACTGGACTCCAGACTATGAACTAAAAGTTTGCTGGTGAGATTCACAGTCAGGGTACATGCCAGGCTGCAAGCCAGGTCCCCAGCTGCGGGTGTGCAAGAGGCAACAGACTGATGTTTCTCTAACACATTGATATTTCTCTCCCTCTTTCTCCCTCCCTTCCCCTCTCTCTCTGAAAATAAATAAAATCTTTAAAGGCATGAGGTCTAGTCTAGGCACATATACAGTCTAGCCCTATGTTATTCAAACTACGGTCTAGCAAGAGCATCACCTACAAACCTGGTAGATTGCAGAAGCCATTCCAGATCTGCAGAGTCAGAATATTTAACAGTTCTCCAGGTGACTTGCATGCCCATTAAAATTTAAGACGCTCTAGCTAAACATAGGTTCTAATCTTGGGTCCATGGATATGTCTAGGACTGGAAATAGGAAATGTTAACCAGTGGGAAAGGAGGAAACCATTAATATACAACGAACTCCTAAAGAGTAGAAGGACTTAGCATCAACTTCATAAGAGACAAGATTACTACCGAAAAGTACTTGACGGGTGGATAATTATCATAGATGAACCAGATCAAAGAGGGTCCTGTGAGGATATTTATAGCACCCAATCAAGACTATGGACCTTTCTTTTGGGGGAGGGATCACAAATGCACAATTTTGCACATAATTTCAGAGACTTAAACAACCTGAAGTCCATATTCACCTCTTAAGATTATGAACTCTAAACTATAAAACATGACTGGCCTCCTCACACAACCACATGAAAATTACAACTAAAATATAGGATGCCATTACTCAGAACCATCAGAAATCAAGCTGAATGGACGTCTGACAACTATGGAACTAAAGAAACCACA